ATATGTGAAAAGTATTCTTGGTTACTTTTAGAGAGAAGTTTTTTTTTCTTTTTTTTTATGTTTATTTTCTCTATCACATGAATTTTAGAAAACGACGAATTTTAATTTGACCGAAATTGCAAATATCCGAACAAACATAACCTAGAAAATTAATTTGGCGCAATTTTTAAAATTGAACAATTACAATTTTCTTTATAATTTCCGTCTCTATATGTATAATATATTTTTGTGTATCTCAAATGTATAGAGGGAAAAAAAAAATTATATTATAATACACTCGGGAAGAATCGAGAAAAAAGACGTAGAATGTTGGCATCTTTTTTTTCCCTTTTTTTCCGAATGGAAATTTAATCGGGAAAATGGGAATGAAATGTGTCACATTTTCAGGTTCGTCCTACACATTTTTGACATGATTTATGTACGCATTTCTTTAAGAATCCCTCATCACTTTATATTTTTAATCATTTGAAGTATTTTACAATTTTTTATTCACATCAATATTTAATCATTAAAAAAAAAATATTTTTTTAAAATACAATTTTTTTTTTATTAATTTGTTAGAATTTTCATTTGAACAAAAAATTACAAATGTTCGAACAAACATAACCTACAAATTGATTTCAGCGGAAATTTTAAAATCAAACCAATCACAATTTTTATTACTATTTCTGATTGTACAATTTTTAAAAGTCGCGCCAAAAATCTTTCTGTCGTTTATTTGTTATAATTTCGGACAAATAAAAATTCGTCGATTTAAGAATTTTATTAAGTAACAAATAATTCTGAATTTGTCATCACAAAAATTATGACAACAATAAAAACCTGCAAGGTACAAATGAATTAATTTTTTGATAAAAAAAAAAGTAATATCTTCTTTATAACCAAACATGAGGGAAGTAGGGACATTAATAAAAAAGACGAAGAGTAAAAAGGAAAAATACATAAATCACAAGAGAATGTCGAATCGAAAATGAAAACTGATGAAAAGGAATTGAAACGAGGACTCAGATGCGGTATAGAGAATGAGTTAGAATTGTGGGAATCGAGAAAGAGTGAAAGAGAGAGAGAGTCGGTGGGGGAGGGAGAGTTGAGAGAGAATGCAAAGAGAAGGGTAGACATGGTAAATCGTTTATTGAAAATGTCTCGTATATAGATGTGTAGCTAGGCGGAAATTACAGATGTTATTTATCTGTGACATCAAGTGGCAAAGAGAGAAATACAAAAGAAGAGATAAAAAAAAAGATAAAGAAAATCAACATCTAACAAAAAAAATTTTTAATTTAACTTTTATTTTTTTCTTCTATTTCCATTTAAAAAGCTTTCCTGCTTTAGCTTTTTTTGTGCTTTTTTTTTTTTTAAAAAAAAAAGACTCATTTAATAAAATTACTATAAAATGAAAGATTTTTAAATACAGCCCAAGTAGAAATGTGCCACTGGCATAGTACTGACCCAACACTGCCAGTCAGTATAATAGTACTGACTGCCGTACTGGGCCAGTAGTGGACCAACCCTGGCTGGTAACGCTGTCCAGTACTGATTTTGTCCCGCTCACCAGTACTAACGTAGTACTAGAATAATACTGGCATAATACTGGCAAAGTACTCATCCGGACTTAAAATCTCACTTTTTTACAAAATGCTAAAACACGCTTTCCAATGCAAATTTCATCCTTATTAGCTTATTACTCCCATTTTTACCACGAACAGGTAATGTGAAGCCAATAATAGTTAATGTTATTTAGAATATATAAAATATTATTAACAATAAATAATTAAAATAATAATTATCATTTATATTAATTAAATTATTTTATTTTTAATAAATTATTTTACAAAAAATAATTTGTGTTGTAAATTTTTTTATTTTTTTAAATTCATAATATTCAATTTTTTTTACTTTGCACTTATACTTAATTTAATAATTATTTAATAATTGATATTACACATGAACAAATATTGTACTTATAACACTTAAAACTAAGAACGAAAAATCTCGCACGCATGGGGGATCGAACCCTAAACCCTTAGAACGCAAGTCAGATACGCATACCGCACAGCCGCGCTGGCTTGAAGTGCTGACTTGAAGTAGTTCGCCTAATACAAAAGTTTTGATTTCAAAGTTTGTATTATCTATTGATCACTAAAATAAAATGAATTTATTCTTAAATTTTTTAAACTCACAAAATTTTTTCAATTTTTACAAAGATTTAATGAAATAAAACTGGATATCAATTTCAGTTAAATATTTTTAATAAATTATTTTTACCGTAAATAATATTAAAACAGACAAAAATGATTGATGAATTACATAATTAAAAATAAGTTAATAAAAGACAACTGTAAAATATGTATGAATGGTAAAAAAATTTTTAAATTTAATATTTAATTATTAATAATATTTAAAAATTACAGTGAAAAAATTACATTTGCTTTATTTTTAAAACTATTAGAAAAAAATTCTCAACTTATTGTTATTGTATACATGATAAATAACTTAATGCACATATTTCAATGAGTACTAAAATAACTAAAAAAACATAAATATATTTTATATAGGTATATAATAATACATTACAATTACATCCAAAATTTTGAGGGAAAGTATTCGAAAGAAATTAATATACATTTTTTTAAATAAAAAATCATCGTTTTCTACCTATTGGAATAATTTAAAGACTTTTTCATTTAATGTTTTTTATCACCGACATAGTACTGATTCGGTGTGAATGACAGTGTACTGCCAGTACTGGTTTTAATATTTTTTTACCTCCGACATAGTACTGATTCGGTGTATCAGTCAGTACACTGCCAGTACTGAAAGTCAATACCGACAGCCAGTATTGGATCAGTACCATGCCGGTGTTTAATTACGGCGAGCTACGGATATTTCTACTTGGGAGAGAATTAAAAACTTATATAAAGAAACAGATTCTTTAAACGAAGATTCTTTTAATCACGGGGATTATATTGATTAATAGTCAATTGAAATTAAAAAGATTCTTTTTCAAATATTTCACAAACTTTACTTATATACTTTTTTCATTCTCGCTTTTAATTACCATTTTATAACCATATTTAAAACGTTTTTTTTATAAATAAAATAGAATTTTCATTTAACCGAATTGTTACTTGACAGAATATTTACGAATTTTTACATAAACATAATTTTGAGCTACCGAATTTTTTTTATTCACCAAATTTTAATTTGATGGAATTCTTCAAACGCTGGAAATCATTTATCATTTTGTAGGTTCGGGTATTTGGAATTTCGGTCAAATAAAAATTGCAAATAAATTAAAATAGTTGTTTTAATCAAATTAATTGGGTAAAAGAACGAAATTTTTTGAGATATCGTTAAAAAATTAAATCTCCAAAAAGTAACATCGCTTTATTTAAAAAGGGGTAAAAAAAATCTGAGAAATTTTAATTATTTAAATAAATGCAAATAGAAAAATATATTATTTTTTTTTATATTTATATATTTTGAATATATCTCTCGAGCATTTATTTAATGAAATATTGATTTTGATATGAAATTATTAATATTATATATTAACTGATATTGACATCAAAGTAAACTTTGAAAAATATGTGTTTCCCATTTTATATATTTACTCGCTCATGTGACAGTAAAAAGCTTTCGAAATGAAAAATAAGAATATGATAAAATCCTCGCCTCTTGTTGCTTTTATATATTATATTCTTGTGAAACGAGACACTAAAGTGAAAATAAACTAAGTTAGCAATTTCGTAATATGAGTTGTGCTTTAATCTAAGATTTGACAAATAACATTATTTCGAATAATGAAATAAATTTATAGTAAAACAACATTAAATGTACGTATAGATGAAGGCTTTAACATAACCTGAAAATTGATTTTTAAAGCAAAAAAAAAAAATTTAATAAAAATAAATTTCAAATTTAAGATCTAATTAGGTATATTTTTTGAAAATAATAATAATAATATACATTTCTTTACTATATACATTGGAATATTGTTCTATTTTTAGATATTAATTTTCGTGTAGAAAGAAAGAAGTACTAACGACTATACGAATATATCACAAAACGTATTGTTATACATTCAATTCGATATTGTATTAAACAATAGTTGCTAAAATAACAAACAAAAAAAAAAAAAAAAACATAAAAAGCCTTCATTAAAAGTTTCTCTATTAATGAAGAGGTTTTTTGTGTTTTTTGTTTTTCAAGTCGTTTCTAAGGGTTGAATTTGCTTTGTTTTAGAATGTCCTCTTTGTCACACGAAAGAATTTAAAGAGTTAACTCCTAAGGGTCGGAAATATTGTATGTTATTTTGTTTGCTTTATATTTTTAAAAAATATATATTTTTTATCTTTTCTAGAAAAGAAATTACTTTTATATTTTCTAAATTTAAATCCTCTTGGTAAAATTCGCAACCAGAGAGTAATTATAATAATATAATAATGTTACAGGTACTTTTTTTCGGTTTAAAAATTTAAATTTTTAAATTAATAATAAATAATAGTAACAATAATGTAAATAATAATAATAATTATTGTTATTATTATTATTATTATTGAATATGCTTTAATCTATAACAAACTGGTGTGCTTTGAATTTGTGGTAAATTTTGACATTTCCAAATTCATGTATATGTGAAATGTGATGAGTTACATTATGTGTATATGGGACGTATGAAGTTAGTGTAAATTATATAGATCCTTTGCTGATAAAATGTTCAAAGGAGATGTAGAGAAACGTATGTAATCTATATGTATACATACAAATGTATGAGGATATTATTCTCATTAGATGTGGAATATCCATTGGTTTAAATTCAAAGCTTCAATTGTTTTCGAATTCCTCTTATGAAGCAAGTGCTAAGTCAAAAAAAAGTAGTTAAATTTTCTTAAAATAAATAAATAATAAATGTGATATTTTTTACATTAAAAAAAAAAATTGTTTTCCATATTTTTATTCTTAATAATAATTTGATTTTTTTATTTTGTCTGTTTCAGGAAACACAGCACTTTGACTCGTCCATAAAGGTAAGAATTTAAAAACTTTATAATTTTAACAAAAATACAAGTACGTTTTTTGTAAATTAATATAAACTGCGCGTCTATATAGCTATATGTTATTAATGATACATTCATTAATTTTAAAAGTGCCATTATCAAAGTGTGGGGGATAAAAAAATATTAATCATTCTTACCTTAAATAGTGAATTTTTCCTCAGAGGAAAAAATCATTAATTATCTATAAAATAATATATAATGAAACTCTAAATAATGAAAATTCGCATTTAATTGAACTTCATTTTTCGTCTCTTAATTATTTATTTTGCAACTAAAAAAAAGGTTTTTATAATTCCTCTCTTTAATAATTGCAAAGATTATAGTGTTGTAGATTAGTCTCAGTGGTACATGTGACAAATTTCAGTGGATTTGAAACTTGAAACATATTATATTATTAGTTCAACTTCTGGAGGGTATAACTTTACCTTAAACTGTTCCCCAAAACAGTTTATAGTTAATTAAACTTGTTTTTCAGTTTAATTGAAGTTTGTGAACATCAATTTCTCTTTTATAATTCAAAAATTCTTCTTTATATTTTATTTTCCATAAATCTATTTATATTTATTCCGAATTTATCTTTTTGTTTAGGAAATTAAATTCTCTATTGATTTTTGATGCTTTTTCAAAGTTTTACCATTTTCTGGATAATAATGAAGGATAAAATAAATCACTTCTTTCTTTTTAGATAGAAAAATTGGCAGAGTTGAATTCAGTAAAAGTTGGATTTTTTTATTTCGATTTTTCATATATCAAAGGTCGTTTTTTTTAGTTTCGACATTTCTATAAGCCTGAATGCTTTGAGCTAACCGAGCAAAAGAGAGCACTAGATTTTTAGAGAGGACTCTTTTTTTTTTTTGTTTACGATACATAACTGTTTACATTTTGAAAAATATTTGCAAATTTTTCCATAAATTTTATGCATCTAGAGGATAACTGATATGTTCAATATAACGATTTTTTGTTTGAAAAATTGTTCTTGAAATATTTCAATATTTATGCGTTATGCTTTATTTATTTTTAAATCAATCATATACAAATTATAAAAATTATATTAAAAAATTATAAAAATATAAGCAACTAAAACGGAAGAATTTTTATGAACGTAAAAGGGGAAAAAATTTCGAATTGAAAAGTGCATATTAATTCAATTGACCTGGATTACTTAATGTAGATATAAAGACGAGGTGAGAAAGTAGAAACAGTTTCGATTTTTGTTAATTTGGAATAAAAAAAAAAATAAATAAATAAATAAAAAGGGAACGAAATGCGGTCGACCATACGTTGGCATATGGACCACGTCCAATCGATAGAGCAAACTGTTGATTCTGACCCGGACGACGACTGCCACACTACCACACAACCAAAAATATACTCGTATATATCATTACGGTTGTATATATATATAGATACTTATTGACTTTAAGTGATTTGAGGAGAAAGTTTTCAAGTAAAATAAAATGATATTATTGGCCTTTCTGAAATCAATTGAATTAAACCGTCAAAATACTATATATATAAATTTTTATTTCACATACATTTTCTCGCATTTACTCTGTTAATTTTCTTAAAAGCCTTTTTAATTTTTTTTTTTTACTAACTCCCTATATAGAGCATTAATATATCAATTCTAAAATTGAGAATATAGAATTTTAATTCGGAATTTTTTAAGTAATACGAATTTTTAATTCCAAAAAATTTATAATTCACTGAATTTTGATTTGTTTGAATTTTTTATTTATACGAATTTTTAAAAAAATTCTTAAAACGAAGAATCTTCATTTGTCCGAAATTGCAAATGCATCCGAACAGAAAGATTTCGGCGCGATTTTTGAAGAAATTATTAAGAAAATGATTGGTCAATTTTTAAAATTAGCGCCAAAATCTCGGAATTTTGGATAAATGAAAATTCCGTCGTTTTTTAAGAATTCTATCGAATAATATTAATTCGTATAGCAAATAAAAATTTGAACAAATTAATATTCGGTTTTTCATAAAATTCTATTTATAAAGAATATATAATTTTCTAAATGGTAAAAAAAATATATTTTTTTATGGAAAAAATTTAGCGCTCATTGGTAATACGCGTCCCATCTGGTCTTTGTTGTGTTTGTATTTTAAATTATTACTCTATACAGTACTGGATGACAAAGAATTCACTTAAAAAAGAAATCGTCTAAAAAAAGCATGCTCTTCTTTTCTTATTGATGTCTTAATAAATAATAATAAAGCTGGGAGATATTTTTTTAAGAATTATTGGAAATTCGTATTTTTTTTTTTAAATAAGGCCAAGTTAGTATAAGAAAGAACGACCATGACTTTTACAAATTATTTTTACATATTGACTTTGAGGATATTATTCTAAATCTTTTACGTCTCTTGACAATATATTGTACATGAAAAAATTTCTATTAAAACAATTTCTAAAATATTGAGCGAGTTGTAATCTGTGAAATTACATATTTGTACCAAATTTCTGCCTTGTGGGTCAAAATGATTAATCTCGGACATAGAGAGAATAGGGAATAAATTCAATAAAAATCATTAGTTAGAATTTTCATTTGTCGAATTAGCATTTGGCAGAATTTCCCTTTAAACAAATTTTTCCTTAACAAATTTTTTCGATATCGAATTTTTATTTGTCCGAAAACGCAAAAGGCCGAACAACCTTTCAAAAAATTTTTGACGTGAATTTTAAAATTCGACCAATCATATAAATTAGGGATTGGTTGTAAAATCGCGTCAAAATCTTTTTGAAGATAATTCGGCTATTGCAATTTCAGACAAATTAAAATTCGATATCTAAAAAATCTGTTAAGGAAAAATTTGTTTAAAGAGAAATTTCTCGGGAGAATATTGTATTAGGAAAATAAAAACTAAATTTTAGCTTAATTAAACAATTTTATTATAATTTATAAAATTACTTCGGTAATTAATTGTTCGAAGATGTCTATGTTAAATAAGTTTCATGGTAATGTTGACACACACACACACACACTTACACAAGTAATTGTACTTGAGATGATCGTGGGAAAGAGCCAGGTCATAAGCAAGTTGCTCGGTTTTCTCCTGAATTCTCAAGCTTGAACAAATGCTAAGCAGTTGCTGTGAAACCCCGTCGGAAACAGTTCACTCCAACACGCACCGCGCTCACGTTGTGTATAAAGGGAGAAATCTCTTGTCACTACGAATTATGAATAATTTTCAACGTTATTTTTACTTGTCTTTTATTCCTCAAGTATATAATGAATATTTAATTTTTCCACGATTATTCTAAATAAAATATTTCCATGGAAATACACTACTCGCAAAAAAAAAAAAACTGAGCAAAAAAAATATTAATAAGTTACATTTTTATTATTTGTCTTCTATTTGTTATACGCTTCTCCACGAGAGAAGTTTATAAATATTTATAGTTGCTTCCATAATTTCAAAAGGAAAATAAATTAAAAAATAATTATTTAAATTTATTCGAATATTTTTATTCAATGAGATTATTTTAAAATTTTTTTTCTTTTTATTTTATTTATTTATTTTTTTTGAATTGAGGAAAGAAGTGGTTTTTGTATTAACAGGGGAGGCATAGAACATTAGGCACGTTCAAGATATTTCGCTAATCGTATAACATTTGACTCGACTGTTTCCATTTCACGCTCACCTTGCTCTATATGTAGAGAATACTTTTTTTTTTATATGGGATGTGTGTGTGCCTTTTACAATTTTCTTCCTCCCTTCTTTGTCTCCCTCTTTTATTTTCGTGCAAAAAAATCGACTTCAACGTAAAATTTAGGGAAGAATATATATTGTATTGTATAATGATGTTGGGGAATTTTAGAGTAGCCGGAATAACGAATATAAAAATACAGAGAGAGAGAGAGAGAGAGAGAGAAAAAGAGAGAGAAGGGAAAGAAAATTGCGGTTAATATTGCGAACCAAGCCTCTCTCACTCTCTCTGTTACTTCTCATCCAAAATCGATGGAGCTTAAATCCCTGGACAACGGGAGTGTTCTTATATATGTGTTCTTTTTGCACCCTCTTATTGATATTGTGCACCCCACAAAAGTTCTGATCAAACATGCAATTTAGGTGTAATTAAATTTCCATCTACTCTCTCTCTCTATCTCTTTTTCTATAAGCTTTATAGTATTTAGGTTGACGTATTTTTTTTCGGAAATTTTTATATGCTTCGAAAAAAAGTAAAGATTCCTCTCATTTTCGTACAACTAGGGGTGAATGAATTTTCCATAAAAATTAGTTATAATTTTCATTTTAAAGATTTTCCAAAATTATTCTTTCTAAAAAAAATATAATCAAATATTTTTTCTTTAATAAAAATAAACCGGAAAAACTATTTGGCAAAAAATAAATTTTAGTAGAATTAAAAAATGATTTTATTATTATTATTATTATTTTTATTATTATTTATATACAAGTTTTTATAATGTTATTTAGTTTGTCTTTTTTTTTTTTTAGTGGAAAGAAAATTAAATTTTTTTTTCGCCATTGACATGAAAAAGTGTCTTTTTTGTGCCTGTTTTGGGCAGATAAAGTAGCACTTTTTAAGGCAGTTTGGGCCAACTGCCTAAAAAAGACTTTTTTAGGCAGCAAACTGCCGTATAAAGTCTTTTTTAGGCAGTAAACTGCCCTATAAAGTCTTTTTTAGGCAGTTGTTAATTTTTGCATAATTTTTTTTTTTGCTTTTATTTTATTTATCAATTTTTATTATTTTTTTTCTTTAAAATTGTTTCACTTTTTCATAACAATGGCGAAAAAAATAGCGTATGTGGCTCGCACGTAGTAATTTTTAGGTTCGGATGATTTCAATACTCGCTGTCTGTGCGACTTCGGTTCGACTCGGCTCGCTTTCGGCTCGACTCGACTCGCCTTCGGCTCGTCTTCATCTCACCTACAGCTCGCCTTCGTCTCACCTACGTCGCACTAACGACAGCTCGTACTGAAAATTACATCCTCAC